TAGAATGAAAGAGGCATAATTTATGTTTATTTCCCAATTTTCATGGTGGTTGAAAGATTATTCAAGTCTACCAAACCCATACAGAGATTCATTACTGAAAATAACAGATAAAAGTATTTTTAATCTTAAAAATAAAAATTACTTTACATGATAGATAGGTAAGATGTGAAAAGAAAAAAAGGCATGAGAGAAACATTGCTTTACAAACCTTACAAGTTAATAAAAATATTTGATATTTTGCATATAAAAGCATAGTAATGTTGACTGATAATCTGCCAAATTTTGTTAACATTCGCTTACTAATTTATAAGTTATAGCATGAAAACTATAACAAGCACAAAATGGTTATGAGGTCTGTCCTAAGGACCGAGCCCATGCTGAAAGAGTTAACTACTATATACTTTGGATTTTTCTTAAATTTATATAGTTATAGTGTAATCAGTTGTGATAGTTTCCTTCTATTACCACACTTTTTTTTAACATGGTTGCAAGATAGTTCCTATACGGTACTTTACCTCCACTCCCATAAATAGCTATTGTTGTTCAGTGCTGCCCTCTATATGCAAAAAAATAATTTTGCACATGCCACCAGCCTTGAATCTTCCACCCATTTGGAATTGACTGATTCCACTGCATCTCACATGCAAATCATCATGTGACAAACCTACACCAATAAAAATGGAACATCTCTCTTAACGCATGTGCTTCTATTATACCAAACTATCACTTCTCATTTGGCAGTACTCATGTTAAGATGTTTTGTTTTGGTGCTCTTCGTATGATTCGAATTCATGACTTTTAATAGTTTAATTTCCAAAGTGGACTTTCTTCATTAATTTTTCTTATCTTCATATTGAGGTAGAATTTTTTAGTTAACTTAATATCCTACTCTGTTTTTTATACTTGCTAGAATTTTTATACATCAAACAATTTTATTTGATTTATATTTTAAATATGAATTCTTAGGTTAATGTTACCACTTCGACTATCATACCTCCTACTAACACTATCTCACAAGCTGCAGGTGGGGGAGACCTGTCGTTGGATTTATTTGGAATTATCTGCTGTGAGATTGTTGTTATAGGGGTCAACCTCCTTCCCCTGAACTTGCCCCACTTCCTCCTATATGAGCCAAACCTGTTCGGGATGACAAAGATTTTGATAGCCTTTTTCCACCACTGGATTTTGCCGTGTCATCCTATGCCCCATCTACAGAATCAGCTAGGCCTAATACAGCATTTTTAAACATTATTTCTCAGGTATGTGGTGTTTTGTTCATTTCCCTAGATTCCTATGATCCCTGTCCTTCATTGTTGTATGATAGTTCTTCATTTCAGTATTTGGTTTTCCCACCAGCCCTGGATATTAGGGTTCATGCTGAGCAACTTGCTTTACAATTGGTTGAGGGTGCCAGCATGCCTCTCCCTCCATGGGCTATAGATCAGTATTCATTAGTTTACCATCAGAAAGACTTGTTCGATTTTCGACTCTCAGCAGTTGGGATTGATTTTACCAGTGTGGGGGTGGTCCCTGATTTTCCTGTGCACTTATCCCATTCCCAGTTTTCCCACCTTTGTCTTACCCTTACTTCCCTTCTGTGGTATTTATCTACTATACATCTCCTTCCCAAGGCAATCCACAGAGATCCTGAGGGTTTTTCGAGGGAAAGCCTCTCCTTAATTACTTTCACATTGGTTCATTTGTCATTTTTGGCTCTCCTTAATTACTTTCACATTGGTTCATTTGTCATTTTTGGCTCTCGCTTTACACACATGTGGTTTCTTTGTTGTTGGCATCTCCTGGGTCGAGATGCAGCCTTGTCCTAGGTTTGTTTACTACCTCCTTATCTTAGGGATTTAAGAATGGTCCCTTTTCTTTGGTGGTATATTTTCAGTGATGTACCTGAGACTTTGGAATCACATATGGAGTCTGTGTATCAACACTCTACCCTTTCCTCTTTGGTTGCATGTTTGTCATAGTTAGAGCTGAAACAAGCCTGGTGACTGTCCTATGGGTTCCAGTTCAGTGGGAGCTCATGTGTATAGATTTGTACACTTTTGGCAACCTTTCACCACAGATCTGTAGGTTATTTGGGTTTTATCAGAGGGACTTGTCCTTCAATTTCTTTCCCCCTCATTTGTCTTATGTACCTGTTTCCTTCCCCATGCCTCAGGATCCTACTACTAGTCAACATCTGTCTCAACAGGCCATCAAACCTGTCCATCATCTTTCTCCAGGCTGTTTGTCGTCCTCAAGAAAACCTGGTGGCCTGTAATAGATTTGTCCCACCTCAATCATTTTCTCATTCTGCACCATTTTAATATGGAGTTGTTTCTCACTCTCAGGTGGGCTTTTTCTCCAGGTTTGTGGATGTCCTAAATGCTTACTTGCATATCCTGATATCTCGTCAGTCGAGACCCTGTCTTTAGTTTGTTCACCACAGGGTGGTTTATCAGTTTTCCGCACTGCCTTTTGGGCTTGCTTCAGTCTTGTATGTTTTTGGTCGGGTGGCCAAAGCATTTGCTCTCCACTTTCATGCTCTCGGGTTGTGCTTTACATCATTATATGGCCAACAGGCTACTGTTAGCTCGCTCTGAACAAGAGTCTGCCCATCATACTCATCGGCTGCTCCTGGAGGTGGCTCGGGTGGACTGGTTAATGAAATTGGAGAAATCATTTCTTCATGCTTTTACTGCTTCCTCTATTACAGCTCGTGAGGTTCTGATGCTTTTAGGGATATGATCTTCCATGACAGCCCTTTTCCCCTTAGGTTGTGTACATCTGTGGGATATTCACAAGCAGTGGAATCTTACATGGGATCATTGACAGCAATCTGCATTGGTGGTTGGACAAGATTCACGTGTCAATGGGTATTCCGCTTCCTCCATCTCGTCCAAATTGACACATTTTCATGGATGCATCCCTTCAGGGATGAGAGCATGAGTCAATCAACAGGAAGCTTCGGGACATTGGTCTGCAGCCAAGAGGTCTATCATATCAATACTGGAGCTTTTCACTGTATACCATGCTTTGGTTCATTTTCTCAATCTACAATTCTACAGTGGTTGCTTATCTCAATTACCAAGGTGGCATCCATTCTTGATCCCTACTTTGGATCTTCTTTTTTTAAGGTCCATGTGCTAGATATTCGTATCATTGCATGTCATTTTCCAGGTGCTTTTGATCTTGTTTTGGATCGACTTTCCCGTTCAGACAACATATATCTTGATTCTTTTGTTTTGCAGTGGCTTTGCCTTTGGTGGGATACTCCTCATATCAATGCATTTGCCACATCCCTCAACAACAAATTGCCTCTGTTTTGGTCTCTGGTCCCTCATTCTCTTGCTCTGGATGTAGATGCTTTTAGTCAGGATTGGACCAACAAATACCTGTATGTATATCCTCCCATTAAACTTTTCACAGGATGATTTTGATCATCCATGCCACTCCGTGTTAGGTTTTTCTTATTGCTCCTTACTGGCCAGTTACTCCAGCTCCAAACTATCCCTCCATTACTTCTTCCTCTTACTATATCCCTTCTTTGTCAACCTCTGTCACTGGTGTTTCATCAAGCTTTTCCATTCCTCCTTCTTCATTCCTGGTTTTTGTCTGGTCCTTGTCGAGGAGATCTGGCATGTCCCGATGGGTAGCTTCTTTTCTAGCTAGTACCATTTGCCCTTCCTCCAGGGAAGTTTATCAATGTAAATGGTACATTTTTTGCCTTTGATCTCTGGGCCAAGGGTTTTCATCTGATCAACCAACTCTTCCTTATATTGTGGATTTTCATTTGGGGGTCTTCTGTTTCCTTGATCTCAGGTGGCCTTGTCCCATACTTTTTGTTTTTCCAGTTACTGTAGGGTGTTTACCTCTTCTACTCTTTTCCTTTTGATGCATTCCTTCTGGATTGCAATGTTAATGTGGTCCTTCACTGCCTCACTTTGCCTCCATTCGAACCAATCTCCACATGCTCCTGTTTCACCTTTCCCTTAAGATTTATTTCCTTCTCCTCTTAGTCTGTGGATGTCGGAGGTCAGATTTCACATATATTTTCCTTTATCAAAATCATTCTTTTCTCCACAAAACTTCAGTAGCTTGAGAGGGTAACTCCTACTTTTTTGACGATTTCCCTTCCTTCCATTTCCCACCTTTATCCTTAGTTTGTTTTGTGGTGCCCATTCCCACCTCTTTATTCCTTGGCAGACATCCTCTTTTTGTGATTTTTCTCTTTCCACCCTCACCAATTGGGTTCGGCTGTTAATTCGATTGGCTTATTCTTGTTTATCGTCTTCCTCCTGTACTTTGTTCTGGATGTCTTTTCATTAAATTTGACACCTTGCTTTTTCATTGGCATCTCATCTTCTTCATCCCATGAAGGAAATTCTTCAATTGGGCATGTGGACTACCCCTCATATGTTTGTCTCTCACTATTTGCATAGGATCGTGGTATCTTCCTTTTCAGGTTATTGTCTTATGCCTGTAGCCATTCTTCAGACTTCAGTGAGACTTTGACTGGGTAAGTTATCTTTTATTACTCTTGTCTTCCTTTTCAGGGTCCTTTTTTGTTATTAATTATTGTCTGGATCCTGCTGTTTGGCAAGTGGTGCCTGACCAGGTATTTTTTAACCATTCAAATGTGCACTGTAAGACCATGTTGACTTGTGTAATTCCATGGTCACGCAATGCACACTGTGGAGATGGAGTATTCCACAAGATCACTTGTAGGTTTATCCTTGTGATAGATTTGCTTCATAAGTTTGCCTATCCCAGACCGTACTTACCCATGGACTACATCGGTAAAGCAGAAAGGGACAGCTGCCCATGTCTTGTATTGAATAAATCAGTATGGTTTGCTTTTCAAAATAGGGTTTCATGGTCACCCATTGCACTGTCTCAAGTGTTGTCATTCCTCTGGACTCTCCATTGTGCTTCCCCCCCCTTTTTTTAGTAGAGTTTGAGAGTTCTTACCACTTTCAAGCTGCTTGGATAGTGAACCATGGAGACATCCTCCTGAATGTTTTAATGAGATACAAGTAGTATATATAAATGATTATAAAACCATCCAGTTGAGAGAAGGGCAGTGGTGTTCTGCTGGTGTAGTTGACATGATATCCTCCACTATATAAAATGGAAGTGAGCTGCTAAAATTGCAGTCCACCCCTTCGATTGGGATCCATCATTCTACTTCCACATGGATGTTGGTTCCCAGTAGCTGGGTTTTGGATTTAAAGCTGAACCAATCAACGTAAGTCCTCACATGTATTACAGATGTCTCTATTACCTCCCTCATTTATACTCTTGTTACTCCATCAGTATTGTGGGCCACGGTGGAGGTACTTGTAGATTACTATGGTTCTTCCCTTTCCCCCTCGATGATTATTATTTCAATACAAGGATGTTCCTTTGCTTGGGATGGTTCCTGTCTATTTGAAATTTGAGTAAGATGGTTTATGTTAAGCAAACATCTTTTCAATGCTGGATGTCAGGTTCCCAGATCAGTCAATAAATTTCTCACATTATCATGTGTCTCATTCATAAGTCGGAGGGTACAAGATTCCCTCCAGTCTAATGAACTTGAAATGAAGATGGTATGATCCTCTTTTTTTTACCCTCACCAGATGGCTGGGTTATTGATGTAGTTGACTTGCGACTTGCCATGTACAGTCTGTCATGCCATAGCCACTCTACACCTATGGGTACATCCTTTTAATCTTACCAACTTTTATGTTTCTGGGATTGAGTTTCATAAATATCATATGGTTTGGATACTTATCCTACCATAGTTCTCTCCCACTTAGATGTGCTTCTCCATTTTTCCACTCATATTTGCAACATCTTTCCATGATGGGTGAAGAGTGTACCTGGTTCAGAAGTGATGTGGTCTCCCACATCAGATCTTCAATTCCTGTTTGGAAGTGTCCTTCAGACACTTTCTAAGGATGCTTCTTTCTTTCCCTTGCACTGGTCCCTCCACCTATTCAATGTGGGATTCTCACTATTTATATGAGTGGAGGTAATGTACTGTATTGGAAGTTATAATTTTCCTATACTGAGAATGTATTTTTGATAGGTACTTGCATCCTCTCACACTTCCCACCTTTTCTCCCACTGAAAACTGGTGCTTCCATTTTGCTGCCAAAGTGATAGTTTGGTAGAATAGAATAGAAGGAGTCACGTGTATCAAGAGAGTATGTCACACTTTTATTGGTGGATGGTTGTCGCATGGTAATTTGCATACGAGGCACATAGGAATCAGTCATTTCCAAATGGGTGGGAGAGTCAATGCTTGTGGCATGTGCAAAAAATCGTTTTGCATATAGAGGACAGCACTGAATGAGAAAAGCTATTTATGTGAGAAGTGGTTAGTACCTATTGGAAATACAGTTTCAACATAGGAAAATTATAACATTACATGTTTAGATAATATTACATGATTCCTACAAGTTGCCTTTTATTATGTAACACTTACCAGCATTAGTGATAAGAGAGGGATTTTTGTACATATGTGTGTGTAATTAGCTGATATGCCTGTTTTTTTATTCTAGTCTTAAGAAGAGGAGATCATTTAATGGTAAGTGCAACAGTTAATAAATGATAGAGATTTCTGAAGATATTACACACATGTCAATTATCTTAATTAGTGACTTGAAAATTAACCATGTAATAAAAATCTATGTGTGCAGTACTATGTTAGATATGACTCAGGGGTGTAGTGCATCAAGCAGGCATAAATTATGTTGTTGCAACTGCCTATGCTGTCATAACTACTTCTGACTTAAGCACGAAGTAAGAAGTAAATGGTATGCTAAGTACATTGAAGCAAAATCCTCCCTGGTGTACTAATGCCTGTTTCATTGTTATCTATTGGTCATCACATTCTAAGGGAAAATGTCAAGAAAGAAAAACTTTCAGATCTAGAAATACATACTACAGTCTCAATATAAAGAGCACAAATATACCAATATTTTTTAAACCATTTTAATATGATCACAGAGTAAACAATATACTAGCACCTGTATTTCAGCATTATGTGCTACATATTTGAAATATCTTGTATTGCTGAAACTGATATTCTGCATTAACAATGCTAAGTGCTGTCTGTTTTGCATACATATGTGTTTCAGTGTCAATGACCAAATAATATTCAATGTTTAAATTAAACTAAATATTCCTTTTACAATTTTAGAAGCTGATTTTCTTTTCAAGTTAACTTTCTACCTCTATACCCTGTGTTATTTACTTGTATATGTCAGGCTTGATAGTTCAACCTAAATGAAGCTTATGTCTGCTTAGTGCACTCTGCATAAAATTTGAGATTATCACTTATTTTGTTGTAACAGGGACATTGAACTTGTGACCTTGTTATGCTTGCCTGGTGCACATCACCTCGGAACAAAATTTTTCAGTTGTATTGTGTCCTGTTTTGTTAGGAAGTACTACTGTATTTCTTACTCCAGGCTATGAAAAGGTGATTGTTTTTCATTAAATATGCTGTTGCTTTTCTTGGCAATCACTGGTTCTGCAGTAATCAGATACATGGTGATTGCAGAGTCTTCAATTAGCATTATTATCGTAAACCAAAAGACAAAATGACTTTTAGCAAATGTGTTTCAAAATATTTGTTAAAAGTTCCAAGTTATGAGTTAAAACATGTAAAATTGCTTAACATCTATAAATAAGTTTTGATTGTATATTATGTGCTTCGTGAAACTTGTTGAGCTACATGCTTCAGGAGATCGGTTGAGCTATATGCTTCACGAGATCTGTTGTTATACCTTTATTTATTTTGTATTTTTTGTGCATTAAAAATTTTCAAACTGTATTGTAGTGGAACATTTAGTTTTTCAAACCATTTAAAACACATCAGCATCTCAAAATACCCAGATATCTCCAAAGTTATTGAAATACAAAAATGAGAACTATTACCTACAAACACTGGTTCAGTCATTTGTTAGGAATGTATGTGAAAGCAGACACTAGTTTTTGTAGCAGAACAAATCAGCACGTACAACACAACCAAATGACAGAAGACATTTCAGAACTTTAGATTCACTATTCAACCTCTTACCATTCACATTCATAGTTAATGTCTATGTAGACTACAACAATAGAAAAATAAACTTTTAATACTGTGATTCCACAAGAAAGTAATGGAATGAAATTTAAGAGGAAAAATGTTTTCTTTCTTTTCATTTAACAGTGCAAGCATATGTTAGCATCTCGGTTAAGTGAAGCCATGGAATTGTGCCAAGAAATGCAATATACTGATGAAACAGTGGCATTAATGTTAGCCAGAATGGAGTAATGGACAACCTAGAGTTTTGAGGTAACAATATCTAAGATTTAAGAAATGAATGACAGCTATACATTAAAGTGCATAATAATATGGAAAGAGGCGTGAACTATGTGGTGTGCTAGGGTGATTTTCATCCCTTAAATTTTCTTCATCAGTTTCTTTCATAGTGCACGATGTCTTAATTAGGTCATTGTCTTTGCTAAATCAGCCTATTATTTTGACACATATTCATCATCAGGACATCAGATTTTACAGCCATCTTATGAATCCAATGGTCCTTCTCTGTACACAACCTTACAAATGTCTCTTGCAGCATTTTACCTGTCAATGCTGGGAAGCATATTGTTCATTCTATTTAAATATGACCACTACGGTGAATAAAAAATTAAGTCATGTTATGCAAAGTTTGATTTGATAATTTGTATACAGCATAACTGCCACTGTGTTGTCAGTTAATTCAAGCAGTGGCACCAATGATTTCTGTAGAAAAAAACTATTGCTTTTGTGTTTTCACAGCATTGGTTATTTTTGTTTAATGTATGGCTATATGTGTGATTATTTTTAAACAAGCTTCTGATTAATCTAGACTTACAATACTGTGTACTCGATTGGTAGCATTTGCACAGTAATAGTTGAATCTATGTCTGATTATTTTTAAACAAGCTTCTTACTAAACTGAACAGTTAACTAAGCTATATTCATGAATAAATAATGTAGATAATTTTCCTTCTTAACAAAATAGATGAAAAAAAAAAAGATACACACACCACACGTCACACGCATACAGAATTCTTTAAGAAGTTTTTAACTGTGTTGTTTCACAAATACAGTGAGAATTCCTTATCTTTTTTTTTCTAAAAAAATTGCTATAACAATGATAAACCATAAATAAAAAGTACATTAAAAAACTGTTAAAGCTTGCAACTATGAAGATTTCTTTGTACAAATATGGTTTCACATTTTAAAAAGTTTGATTTGGTTAACTTGTGTAATTCTTAAATGGCAGGAGTTCCTATGGAAATTTGGAACTAATGCATTAAGCACAATGTGGTAGCAGATTTTACAATTCTGTTGATAAATCTGAAGTGACTTATTTAACACTAGGTAATAACAATTTTTATGTTTCTGTTAGTACTTCTGGGCTGATTTTTCCATCCCTTAACTAGTAGCAGTTTTTACTCTGTTCATAATTCTGAATAGATTTATCAAGCACTAATTATTAGCAGTCTATGTTTCTGTTAGGAATTCTGGACTAGTACTTTTAGCACAAAATGAGATCAATCTTTACACCCCTTGGTAATTCCCTTATAACACTAACTCATAGTTGTATTTCTCTTCTAACACCAACTGGTAGCAGTCTTTACATCTCTTGGTAATTCTGGACTATACTTGTTTCATTCCTTTAATCTACATTTTTTTCATTCATAACCTTTCTCAATGGCATTATAAACTGAATAAGTAAAGATTACAATTTTTAAGTTTGTTTTTGCAATATATATATAATTTTAATACAAACTTAGGAAAAAAACATGGAATGACATTAATATTTTTGGACTAGATCCACATAATTTTTTTATTTTAAGTACATTTTTTATTAGAAGCTTTTTTAAGCAGCTTCATGAAAGCCCACATAAGAACCAGTATTTGAAACTTTTGAATCAAATCCTAATGTTTCAATAGATATGTTCACCTTGTCTCTCCTCAACCACTCTTCAGTGGTAGATAAATTTTGCATTTAGAAACTTTTAAATAGTGTTTACAATTTTGTCTTTTAGCCACTTTTAATTAGTTTGAGAAAACCATACTATGCTATTTTCTTTCAATGGTTCATCATGACTAGACACACTTTTTCAATGTTGTAGTTTAAATACTTGTTTCACATAAATATGTAAATAGCAAAAGATAATGATTCTTAAGCTAAACAACATTGTTTATTTATAACAGAAGGTGACACAGATGTTTCAGAATTCTACAGATTTTATCTTCAGTATCTAAAGTTATTTACTTAGGAATAATGTAATTCTTCTATTTTGTTTTAAATACTGAAGATTGAACCTGTAGAATTCCGAAATATTTCTCTGTGTCACCTTCTGTTATAAATAAACAATGTTGTTTATCTTAAGAATCGTTATTCTTTTTATTATGTAAATAGCATATACCATACTTGAGTTTTAAAAAACACATTTTGAACCAATTCTTTTAGACTTTTTTTTTACAATTTTGAGATTAGAATTGTCTATTATAATTTACTTACATGTATCTTTTGAAAATGCAAAGCTGAAGCTTTGAAAAATATTATCAACAGTTACTTTTACACCAATGATAAAACACTGATACTCCAATGTAAGAAGGCAGTAAGCTTATACATAAACACACACTGATTTAGATACCTTCTCAGTTTTTGGAATTCCTTTACTCATCGAGTGAAGTACCTAGGAAATTATGAAATAGGACTTGGGAACATACAATCAAAAGGAATAAAATGGTATTCTTGTTATCAAAGTATTTTAGGAAGCTATTATGATTAAGGAGGAATGTAGGTATGTATTGAGTACTTTCTTCAGTTTATTGAAGATTCTCTTACGTTTATTTCTCATGGGGCAAACCATAATTTCTTGGTGTATGGTTTCACTTCATTCTGTTGCTGACAATAGTGGAATCTTCAACATTGTAAACAGCAAGTAAAACCTTATCTATGACACATTTTTGCTATTTTTTGCACACTCTTCACAACACAATACTATAATAGCATCAACCCTCTTGTAAATTTGAAGGTGAAAATTTATCTGTGTCATTTTGCTGGTGTGTGGATTCTCTTCAACAACTTTAAACAATATAAATGTTACTGCTGTTATAAAGCCAAGAGGTGGCTTGAAACAAAATGTTGTTTCTTATTAGTGTAGAAAAAAGGTATAACCAACACAGACACACTTAGCAGAACACTTCAAGATTCATAATGTTACAAGATATTATGTCACCTAAAATGGTAAACATTGTCTTGAATCAGTTAATTTGTTTTTAGTAGGTTAACCATGATATCACATGCACATTTTGTCTTATACACCAGGAAAGTAGCTGATGAACACAAATAAAAATGCCTTCAGTGTCTGTGTCATGAGCATGAAACTAGTCACTGTTGTCAAAAATATTATATCCATATTGTATTAACACAGTTGTTCTCTCGCATCCTTTCATTATAAGCAACACTTGTATTAAAGAGTGAAATTGACAAGACTTGAATGATATAAATAAGCATTTTTTTGTGTGCAAAATATGATGTAGAAGTAAACATTTTTAAGTTCCTGATGTTTCACTTCATTTCACACAACATTTTTTTCTGTGTGCTTCTCAGGCCAGACTTTGGGAAAATTTGTTTGGCCTTAAAGATTTGGTTGTATAGTCTTTTTTGCACAGTTATATATGGAAGTTTAGTTTTCAAAATGTCTGTAAATGGCTGTAACATAAGCCATTATCGACTGCCAGTCGGGTCTCTCCTGAGCTAGTATTTCATTGATATCCTGGAAGGAAAAGGAAAACAAATGTGGAGTGAGACAAAGAAATGTTTAGCAGACTTTCAGTATTACAGAACATGAGATACCACCATAAATCCCATATACTATCTTGTATCATATTCCTGATATTAACTTGTGCAGTATCTTGTGTGATGTCTCTGATATTAACCTGTGATATATATTGTGCGATGTCCCTGATACTAACCTGTATACTATCTTGTGTGATATCCCTCATACTAACCTGTAGGGTCAAGATTTTAGTCAAATTGCCCGAGTTTGTAGCAAGAGATTTAACAAGCCAAGTGAATATGTTTGTTACAAACAACAGGAAATATCCGTCTTTTCTAGTTAGCAAGCCAAGTGTATATGTTTTGTTATGAACAACAGTTATAACCTGTCCCAGTTAACAAATCAAATGAATATGTTATGAACTTTAGGCATTAATACACTGCATCTCTATAAAATTTTAGGATATGAATTAATGTTTTTTCGTATAATCTTTATCTCTATACATATATCAGCGATATCACACAAGATACCGCACAAGTTAGTATCAAAACCACAAGAGATACTACACAGGTTAATATTAGACATCACACAAGATACTACATATGTCAATATCAGACATCACACAAGATACTACACACATCAATATCAGACATAACACAAGATACTACACATGTTATTATCAGGGATATCACACAAGATACTACAAATTGACCTTTAGAGTTTCCATACAATAACTTTTAATATATTTTATGTATCTTCACAAAATTTTGCAAGCATTATAAGTCTCTTATAGACAAAAAATCATAATTTTTGAATGAAGTATTTTTACCTTAGATTACTTTATTCAATTTGTAGACTGCCCAAGTGCAAAGTGATTTTCATGTTAAGATTGAAAATATCAAATTTAATCTACATAATCTATAAAACCTCCTAAATACATTTCAAACATTTTTTTTTTCAGTAAAACTTTATAATTTGTTATTTTTGCTATCTTAACTGTATATAGGGTCAGTCAATTTGACCAACTTAATAACCACCAAAAAAAAATGAAATAAATCTAAATTACCTGTTTTTTTTTCTAAAATGACTTCAAATTGTAACAGGAAACTAGACTTGTTTGTCCTAAATAACTTAAAGCTAGTTACAGTATATATCTGTTTCTATGTAAATTTTATTTTTTATTGCAATTTGAATCCTATCTAACTAAAAATCCTGGAAGTTGTAAATCAATCAGCAAACGTGTAGCTCACATTACTCCTATCAAATTATGTAATGCATGAGTCACTAACAAATGTACATCAGGAAAATTTTTTATTTTTTTTTAAATCTTACCTGATCTAACCTAATAAGTTTGTAATTATTAAACTTGTATAATAATGAAAAACAAGAAATATAGTAATTACTTGTTTTTTTGCTGTTGATTGTCAATGAAGCTTAAACCTACTTTTTTATACTAATGGTACTGCTACACTAAATAATTTTTTATTTAACTGAATAATGCACCTACGAACACAGAATAATAGCAGGTAAAAAAACAGAAAATATCCTATAGCTATCATAATTTTTCTGGCTTTCTAACTGTGAGATAAGAGCCAATAAAAATTCAGTTAAGCTTGTTGATGTGTTTCCCATGGGAATATAGTTGGAACTGGAAGCAAAACAAACAATTCTCTGTAGAGAAAACAATGTAATAGAATACATCATTTGATAGATTAAGACTTTGGCTTCTTATTGGTTATAAATAACATAGTATGAAATGTCAGAGAGAACTGTTGGCAATTTGTAATAGAGAGGATGTGAGAGATAGGTGTGGTAAAAGGGGTCTAATGTTCTCATTTATGGCTCTGTAACCAAATAAGATTGAAGACTATAAAAATTATGCTTTGTCTAAGTAATAACTACTGTAATGAGTAATTTACATTAAATTCCCTACTTGTATGGGTGGTAAATGAACTAGAGAAGAGGGGATACCAAGAGAGCAAATGTCACAATTCTCATTCTAGAGTGAGATTGAGGATTTGAAATAATATTTCCTTATAGAATTAAGAACACTTGAACATTTGATTTATTAACTATATTTTTATGGCAGGTTTATTGATATATCATGATAATATAGTAGTTTAATTAACTTTTGAATGCAACTCTAAAAAGTTGTCATGTGCACTTTGAACAGCCTGTAGCAAGAGGGTTAACTATAACAGACGAATACAACCTGTAATTTGTAACAAAACACATTCACATGGCTTGTTAACTGTAACAAACAAATAATACCTGTTGTTAGTAAAAAACATGCTAGGTTAGGTATTTTTAATTTACAATGAAGATTTTAATATTATCATAACTGTGATCCCTCTTGTTTTTTATATTCACTATTTCTTTTGTTATTTAATAACTAAACTATGATCTCATGGGTTTGTAATTTTGATGTATTTTTTACTTATCATATTTGCTTCTTTAAGCATTCAAGGCACTAAGAAAATAAGCAAAACTGATCAGAAGTTATGGAGGTTGCTTATCATATGGCTATGGGGATAATGCTTATTATACTGCTAATTTATTATTTTATACCATGTAATATTTGTGAAGTGGGCAATCTTCCTGTGGTGCTTAAACATGCTTTTTATGCTAAGTTGAACTCTGTATAATATACTGCTGTGTTCTTCCTTGATTTATTTCTCAAAAGCGTAGTATGTAGCATCCTAAATGGGCAACCTATTTTTGAAAGATAACTTGATCCTGATTATTTCTTTCTCAAAACAATTGTGCCGATCATGAGTCACCATGGTCTAATGATAACAGTTTCTATCACTGATGAATTAAGAATTCAATATTAGTTGTATTTTTTTTACTGTGAGAGTCTCTTTGACTTTCACCTCTTGTTTATTGTTGAAACTACATATTATGGCAAAGTTCTTTTCACCAGCAGTTCTGTGACATTCCTGATCTACATGTTTGTAGATATTTAAAGGATTATCAGCACTAGTCTGCAGATGCTCTTTTATATACTGCTTTAAAGGACACTTGGTTGATCCCACTTAATCACATCCACGTTGAAAACAAATATGTTGATAACCGGCATAGCAACATTGAAGTTTATTAATTCTGTTTTTTATTTTGAAAAAGTTCTCAATTCTAATTTTAAGGCTATACACACTTTGTGGATAGTTTGATTTCATTATATTTTGGATTTCTTTTCTCAACATAAAGCTGTGTTTATGCATTAAATGGGAAACTGACATAAATTACAGTTTGGGCACATCCTAACATGAAAAAAAGCAAAAACAATTTAATATATCATCAAGTAATGAGAGATGAAAAACCACTTTTTACACTTTATAGAGTAGAGAGTTAAGAATTGTTTAATCCATTATATGTAAATAAACTAAATATTTTTGTTTAGTATTGGTAACAATATTGGGATATTTATTAAAACACTTATTATTTATTCTAATTTACTGTGACACATATTAAACCTCTCTCCGTGGGCATCTTCTTCTGTGCATGTCACGAGGTTTTAGTGAATTATGTTCAAAATTTAATTAAACTACTTTCTTTTCATAGTATACCAATAAATATAGCACATAAAAAGTAGCTAATAATCCATATTTTAATGATTTATAAGGCAATATCAAAAAAATCTAGAATTTTTCCTAGTGTGAAAATTGTGACATTTGCTCTCTAGGCACCCCCCCTTTTCTAATGTATTTACCAACCCTCCAAGAAGTATGAAATATGATATAAATTACTCAATATAATATCATCATCGCTTAGGCAAAGCATAATTTTCATAGCCTTCAATCTTATTTGGTTACAGAGCCATGAAATAGACAGTCAGACCCCTCTTGCCATGCTCACCTGTCACATCCTCTCTCTCAGAAATTGCCAATAGTTCTCTCTGACGTTCAATACTATATTATTTATGATCAATAGAAAGCCAAGGTTTTCATCTATCGTATGATGTATTATATTATGTTGTTTTCTGTAAACAGAGAATTGTCAATTTTGCTTTCAGTTCAAGCTTGATTCTCATGAAAAACACGCCAACAAGCTTAGATGATGTTTTAACGGCTCTTCTTGCAGAGTTAGAAAGCCAGAAAAATTGTTATAGTTATGTGACATTGTCTGCTTTTTTGCGCATTATTCAATTAAATAAAAAAATATTTAGTGCAATCCATTAGTATAATAAAGTATGGGTAAGTGCCATTGACAGTTGACAGAAAAAAAAAAGAAGGCCCATGTAAATACTTTATTTCTTGCTTTTCATGTGTATATTTTATTTATTATTATAAAATTAAAATGTAAAAACAGAAAACTTTTTATGTTAGTTAAGGTTAGATTAGGTGAAATAATAATTTTATTATATTACAATAATAATATAAAAAAATATTTTCACTAGGCATGCTCGTGAGCAGCTGGTGAGTAGCTCATGCATAATGTATTTCAATAGCATAAAGTGAGCTGCATGTTTGCCAAGTGATTTACAACTTATAATGGTGCAAATAGTAGTTAGATAGGGTCCAAAGAGCAATAAAACAACAAAATGTAGGTATAAATAGATGTATATTGTTATCAATTTAAAGCCATTTAGGATAATCAAATGTTGTATCATATTACAATTTGAAGTTATTCTAGAAAGAAAAAAAAAATTAATTTAGATTTATATTGATTTTTTTTTTGGTGGTTTCGAAGTCATTCAAATTGACCAACCTCATATAAAGTTAGGGTAGAGAAAATAACAGAAAATATAAAGTCTTACTGTAAAAAAAAAAACTTTTGAAACTTATTTACGTTTTAGGGATTTGAGATTTTTTGACTTTTTTTAACATGAAAATCGCTTTGCACTTGGACTAGTACATAGAAATACTGTATGTATATTTACAGACATATCTTTAGTAAAAATACTTCATTAAAAAATATATGATATTTTGTGTAGAAAAGACTTATAATGTTTACTAAAAGTCTGCTACATTCTGTGAATACGCACAAAGTGTATTAAAAGTTAATGGTGTGGAAACTATAATGCACTTGGACTAGTACATAGAAATACTATATATATATATATATATTTACAGACAAATCTTTAGTAAAAATACTTCATTAAATGAAATGTGATATTTTGTGTACACAAGACTTGTAATGTTTACTAAAAGTCTGCCACATTCTGGGAATATACATAAAGTCTAATAAAAGTTAACCCTATCGCCATGGGTATCCTTTACTGCGCATGACACAAGGTTTTAGTGTCTAACATTCAAAATTTTTTCAACTACATTTTGTTTATGTCATACCAATTAGAATAGCATAAAATCTTAGTTAATAATCCATATTTTAATAGTATATAAGTTTTAACCAGGCAATATTAAAAAATAACCTACATTTCCTCTAGTGTGACACACGTGACACATTTTCTCTTAGCATGTCATCTACCTTATTTTATCCACCACCCCTCAAAAAAGTATGAAATTAAATATAAATTACTCTATAAAATCGTCATTGCTCAGACAAACCATCATTTTTATAGTCTTCACTTTGCTTACAGAGCTATCAAATAGAAAATCAGACCCTCCTGCCATGGCTACCTGTCACATACTCTCTTTTAGAATTTGTTAATAGTTTTCTCTTACATTTAATTATATATTACCTATAACAAACAGAAAGTCAAGGTTTTCATCTATCAAATGATGTATTGTATAACATTATGTTCTGAACATTTATATGTCAATTTCACTCAGAGTACCAATATCGTTCCCATGAGAAAGTTAATGACTAGCTTGGATGAATTGTAATGACTCTTGTCACATAGCTAGAAAGCTAGAACAATTTGGAGAGGTAAGGGAATTTGTCTACTTTTTGCATGTTATTAGTCTATATGCATTATTTGATTAAATAAAAATTATTAAGTGCATTACTATCATTAGTATAAAAAATTAGGTTTAACTCGACATTTGACAGCAAGAAAAAAGAAGATTAAGTATTTTATTTCTTGTTTATTCCTTATATCTAATTACAAAAGTACCTAAAATATAAAAATAGGAATCCTTTTAGGTTGGTCAAGATTAGATTAGGTAAAATAAATAATAATAATATTATAATAAAAAATGTTTCACAAGGCAAGCGAGCAGCATAGTAGCTTGTGGGTAATGTCATTCATTAGCTGCACATTCCCTGAATAATTTACAACATATGGCATGGATAGTAGTTAGACACTGTTCAAAGAGCAATAAAATAATAAAATTTAATTATAAATAGATGTATACTGTTACAAACTTAGATCTACTTGGGATAAATGAATGTAGTTTCTTGTTACAATTTGAAGTCACTGAAGAAAAAAGGGTAATTTAGATTTATTTCGATTTTTTTTTGGGTGGTTACAAGGTTGGTGAAATTGACCAATTCCAGTTTCAGATAGGGTAGAGCAAAGAACAGATAAACTATAAAGTTTTACTGAAAAAAACGTTGGTAATGCATTTAGGAGGTTTTAGGAATTACACAAAAGAAATTTGAGATTTTTGATACAAGTATTTTTAATTTTAACATGAAAATTACTTTACACACAGACTATTCAAAACAAATACTCAATATATTCGTTTCTCTGATGTAATGTCTAGGACAATTCATCATAGTTGAAGACACATTTTTAAGACGATTGATACAACACTATTGAGAAGTTGATAATTTATATTTTTAAGGGATGCCATCAAGAGTTACATGTTTGCCAAAGTGCCACAATTATTGGGAGACATAACAGTGAGGAAAGTAAACATAATGCTTAAATGACACCCATTTTTGGTTGAGATTAACAGCAAGCTTAGGTTTGAAATTTGGCAAGATCATAGTTAAGAGGTTGCCAATATTAATACATGGTAAGCATTCACTTTGAAGGCCAAGTGGCTATTAGTTAGAACAAGTCAGCCTGACAAGGATTTATAATTTTTCAAAAAAAAGAAATGAATCTGGTATTTTAATATGCCTTTTAAACATTAAGATCATTTATAAATAACATTTTTTGTCAATGATTCCTTATTTTCCTGTCATCAAAATTGCAAGTTGAATTCCTTTGCTAACATTTTCAGTCTGAATTGCTTTTAAATATACATTAAAAAAAACACCTTAAAAACACCAAAAAAATCTAGTCCCATTAACAATGGTTTAAAGAATTGTTCAACTAAAAAAAAAAGAGTATCTTACCAAGGTTGTAGGAATGCCTATGGACTCTGCTGCTTGGAATGCAAGTGTGAAGTTTCGTCTCTAAAAAAACATTTAAAAAAAATATATGATTGAAACATTTCCAAGTTACTGTACAACTCTTTGTTTGTTCCTCCTTTCTTTCATTAGACAAAAACTAACCAAAATGTAATTATACATTTCATTACATGCTGCAAATATGTTTTACTCTCATACACTGCATCATGACAGAAAGGTACAGGCTGATATAATTTTTTAGTCAAGCAAACCTTAAATGGGAATGACTTCCTACCTTTACTAATATTTCAAGATTGAAACACAGGAAATGAATGAGCAGTAGATGATTATAAAAGTTTTTTGAAGAAAAACACTTTTTTAAGTGTTATTCTCATATTATCAGAGAAAAGTCACATTTCAAATTAAGCTTCTTCTTTTTTTTTCAAAGTTGTGTCAAGTTTTGTACATATGGGCTGGATTATTTACAGTATGTGTCTGTAACTTATTGGCGATGAATTTCAACAATAAAAAATACAGTCTGTGATAATTTCACTTTAGAAATTGCCACTATATGCTCTTTGTGGCTAAACTTACAATCACGCAGTCTAGATCTATCTTTCGAACTAAATTTCTGATGCGTATTTATACTCTGACAGTGGTTTAGAAAGTTACATACACTAATATATATATTATGATGCAATAATACTCAATAAAAATGAGAAAAACTCAGAAGGTTCTAATAACATGATGCAATAATATAACAATCACCAATTCATAACTAGTGAACTACACAATATATGATTCATAAACAGTTACACAAACTTATGATAAACTATTGCTTCTAAAAATAACTAAGTTTAACACTTGTGCTGTATAAACTATCTAAGTCATAACACTCACATTAATCCTATGACTACTGGCTAATAATATTTATAGTCGGTAATGTCGCTTTCATCGTATTTTGTTCCAAAAATAAAAGTAGCGTACGAAATTGTTTAAAAATTTGACGAAAATGTTCTTAAAGGTATATAGTTTAAGAAAAATAAGAATACTTAATTTTGATTTTCTCTATTATATCTGATAAAAGATTTGTTATTTAATGTAGTTATTTGCACTTGCACTCTGAATAGTTCACCTGCAAGGTGATTTTTATTTTGAGTATAAAAAATACTATTTATCTTGCAGTTTTCACATTTTATTTGCATAATCTGTAGAACCTCTTAAATGAATATCAAAAGTTTTTAAGGTAATTGTTTATATTTTATTTTCCATTTTCTTTACTATATCACTAACTCTAGCTATTATCATCAACATACGGTGCAATGAAATGTTTAAAATTAACAAATGAAAATATGTATACACCTTTTAAGTCTTTGTAGAATAATCTTCCAATATATTCTTTGTGTCATATGTGTAATTTCAAGCCTTTTATCTTTTCACCTACAGTTTATTTTTGATTTTCCTTTCCAATTCTTGGTCTTTTATTATTTATGCCGAAACATCAGTTAGTGCCTGTGGAGCTTTATAGTTTTTATCCGCAGATTTTTGGCAGAGACATGTTTGCCTAAAAGAGATGGCACTTGCACGTGCCCTGTGTTTATTAGCTTTAACAATCCAGGCCACAACCAGTTAAATGTATACAAATCATTAAAGTTTTCAAGTATGCATTTTAAAACACAAATAACACATATCAATTAAAATATAAAAGTAAAACCTAAATACCAAATATGTATCAAACTAATACATATAAGGCAAGAAAATATTTCCAAACACTACAGACACCACTCTCAACAATGAACTTCGACTCATTTCACCCCATTTGAAAATGAATGTATAAATGCTTGTTTCCTGTTACAGTAACAACCTTCAAGAGTGAAATCTGCTCTTTTAACTTAAAACTGACACTTAGAAACACAGCTTCTACTTTGCAAGTGGGTGTGAATGACCTTAAACTAATGAAATATTTACAACGATTTCCTGAGGGAGAAATTCTTGGAACATGCTCGAGAAAATAATGAAAAACACGTGTATAATGTACCTTGGACATCTGAAGGAAGCATCTACAGTGCATACACACACACAGAATTTCTTTTATACCAGCTCTTATTAAAGTTGAAAAATTGTAACTATGGGTTGATCATGTGACAGCAAAAACTGTTGTTTTGGATGTTTCATTTGAAATAAAGATGTAAAAACTTAGATAATAAAAAATTTGTTTTAATGTACTTGATAATAATAATTCCACTCAATGAATTGAGAGTAAAAGTGGTTTGATTAAATTTAAGAGAAATATTTACAGTATTTTTTATACTATATACAAAGACTGTTTTCAATTCATGCACAAAGTCTACCCACACAGTCTATATCAACCTTTGCAGTCCCCCTGATGGCCTCAGTGCAGAACTGGTAGTTCTGGAGCTACAACACCCACTATATGATTTTCACACTGTCGATTTTGTACCTCTGGATGTATGCAAGGGGCTGTTGGTCAGTCTGGATGTTTAACTTCTTCCCATAGAAGTAGTTCTGGAATTTACAGATGGCAAATACTATGGCCAGACACACTTATTCAATCACAGAGTAGTTCTCATTACTCAACAGGTTTTTACTGAAATACATCACAGGAAACAGTTAATCTACTTGTTCTTGCAGAAGTACTGCTCCAGTTCCAATGTCTGATGCATCGGCCTGAACGATGAACAGTTTGTTGAAGTCTGGCATTCTAAGGATTGGCAAACTTCCTAAAATGTTCTTCAACTTCTGGATTGCCATCTGTTACGATTATTCCCATTTCACCTTGTTTGGTTGGCATTTCTTGGTCAGGTCAGTTGGTGGTGCAGTGACTTCAGTGTGTTTGGGATGAACTTACTATAGTATCCTGCTAACTCCAGGAAGGATCTGACTTGCTACTTGGTCATTGGAGCTCGTGCATCTTGTATGCAGGTTAGCTTCTCCTCTTTCATAACTATCTGCTGGCTGCTCACCTTGTGTCCAGCACAGAATAACCAATGTAGCACTTAGATGGTCTGATGGTCAGACCTGCTACCCTCACTCACCCAAACAGCTCCCTGAGTTTCTTCAAATGGTTTTACCATCTGGCCGTATGGGTCAAAATGTCGTCCACATAATGCTGGTTTTACAGTCGATTGTCACTGCTGAGTTCACTAAACCAAGCAGCATGCTCTTGAACTGGTAACATCTGTCTAGTGTCACAAAGGCTGTCTTCTCTTTAGATTTTGTCTCCATCAGGATTTGTCAATAACCTTTACTAAGGTTAACTTGGTAAAGAACTTTGCCCTCTCTAGTTTCGCCATGATAGCCTATGGGTTGCCCATATGTTTGGAGTTGAACTGTCTCATGAGGTTCAGCTTCTGGAAATCTATGCAGAAGCAAGTTCAGCCATCTCTCTTCTTCACAATTACCACTGGTTAACAGGAGGCTGAATTTAAAGACTGAATGTTTCTTACTTCTAACATTACCCCAACTTCTTGCTTGATCAGGTCTCTCATCACATAGGGCATCTGGAAGGGCTTCACCTTGACTGGATCCCTGGTTGTAGTCTCAATCCTGTGTTGCACAAGGTCTGTCTTGCCTGGTCTATCTGTGAAGACATCTGCATAGTGGCATAAGATATCTTGTAGCTATTTCTTCTGCTTGCAAGTTAGTTCTTCACTGATATTAACATCTTTGTACATCTCATCTCCATCCAGCAATCTTAGGTCTTCATTTTCTATGACAAAGTCACCATCTTTTGGTTCTGCATCTATGACAGCCACATGTGAAATACACATCTGTGCCTCAATAACTGCACTCATTAGGTCTT